ATTGCATGGTTAAACACTGCTATGTAATTGCAAAAAATGTTAATAATGCATTTTTATTTCACTATTTTATGTATTGCTGATTAATGTTAAGGTTTAAGTATGTATGTATTATTTACCATATGAATACTGGCTGTGACCGCGGTTTCACCCGTGTTAAATTTCAATATAAAATATAACCTATATATTGTTCTGAAGCATAAGCTATATTACTGTAAAGTTTCATCAAAATACATTACGTTACGTATCAAATTTACAAATTTTCGCATTTATAATGTTAATAAGATATGACAATGTGTAATATCATATACATTAATCACATAATAATTATACCGTTTATAAGATTAGATAAGATTAGATTTTTTGTAAATCTGTCTAGTGATCTATCTTGCGAATGGGTAAATAAAGTATTCAGGGATAATTTATTTAATAGTTCTACAATCATATCACATGGTCTATCATAGGTACATTTATTAAAAATTAATTCCTAGTGGCTTAATTGAAATTAAAGTGTGAATAAAAAGGTAATCCAAAATTATATTTCTATTTGTTGTTTAAATAGGACATATGTTATGTCCATGATTATAAACACGAAATTTCATAATTATTAGTTGAATCGATAAGGTGTCAGGAACTAGGGTATAATAACACACATCACAATTAAAACAATTTATACTAAACTATTTACAATGAGAAAGCATCTAAACCAATATTCTATCAGAAAAAGTCCCAATGGAATGCGGAATATATACATTCCGTTATTTTTCAATCAACAGATAATCCGGTGATGCTATACATTCTGAAAGTCCTTAGTTATACGACCCGTCTGATCCCAAGTTGCTTTCATTCATCAACTCGAAGTGACTTTGTCGAGAGCGTAACCAAGTATAAAAAGGACATACTACGTACTTCGTTGGCTAAGCAAAACATACACACTTAATTGATGATTAATTGTTTCTTATTTGCCAGTATCAATTATATTATGTACATAATATGAAGGATAAGTATATTAAATAAGTAATAAATTAATTGTATTGGCCCTATCAGTTTCACTGGACAAAAATAACTTCAAAACTCTATTTTCCACACTTTGGAGGCGTCTGGGAGGCGGGCGTAAAGGCAGCCAAATATCATTTAAAGAGAGTTGCAGGTAATATTTCCCTAACCTTTGAAGAATTGTCCACTCTATTCACCCAAATAGAAGCTATTCTTAATTCTCGACCTCTTGCTCCTTTATCTTCCGACCCGTTGGACCTAAATCCTTTAACCCCGGGGCACTTTCTTATCGGTCGACCACTGGCGTCCCTGCCTCATGCTGCTGCAGAAGAAGCTAATTCCAAGTTCTACATGATAGAGAAACTGCGATTGCATTTTTGGGAACGCTGGAGCAAAGAATTTGTTGCTGAGTTGCAGCAGAGAACAAGGTGGAAATCAGGAACCGGAGATCCTAAAGTAGGAGATATGGTGCTGTTAAGAAATGAAAACATACCACCCCAGAGCTGGCGGCTGGGTCGTGTAACGAAGCTGCATCATGGTGCAGATAACATTTGTCGAGTGGTTGATATCTACACTGCGAGAGGAACGATACGGCGAGCCGCTCGTTACATTGTAAAATTACCTGTGGAAGATACTGAAGAAATTGAAAGTTAACTCTTTCAATGGCCGGAGGATGTCCACGCCTAAAATGGAGACAAGGTTGGCAACACTAAAAGTGTTGTCTTTGTTTCTGCGTCATTGTCATAATCTCTCTGGAAAAAACGCTGTGAACAATAAACGATTAAAAAACTTGTAGTTTCTTTATATCAAGTAAATGATCGCAATGATCATATACCAAAAGGCAAAAATAAACTAATTCATAATTACAAAAAAGGGTAGTAATCGTTCATTTTGGAAAATTTCTTGGCACGAAATCATTATCATGATTTGTTTAAAAAATAGACGAATAACGTATATAACGTACATTTTCAGTTTAATAACGAGCAGATTCAATGTATTAATACATTTAAGGCACTTTCGGAGATTTATTTTCATTTCTCTATTTTCTACAAAAGTTAGCTTTTTATTTTACAGGTGGTACTTGCTTGATACCTTTTTTATCGAGCTTACATTTTTATTTACATTGCCTTATTATATTTGATATTTGTCTATCATTGGAATTCGGATTGGAAATCCAAATCGAATATTTATCCGAGTTAAAAATCTCTATAAGATTACTCTGAAGGGTCTCCCCTTTATTTAATTTTGATTGCTTGGTGTTATAATCGCCAGAATCAACCGTTTCATTAATATTAGCTTAGAAGGACAGACGCGTTACAGTCCTCGTGGTCATATATTATGTAGCAACTGTAAAAGTATTCAGTTTGAACTTTGACTGTTTTATTTGTTAGGAATTAATGAATTTTAGGCTATATCTTCTTTGTCAATATCTATTTTATACAAAGTGATGATTATTTTTACAGTCAATAATGTGTATGCATGAATTATTGTGTATACGTATTTATTTGACGGCCTCGGTGGTCTAGCGGTTGGGCACACCGCTTTACTTCCGATGGGCGCGGGTTCGATTCCTCGGACGGTTCACACATTTATATTCATGAGTATGATTGTTTTTATCGGTCTGGGTGTTTTCGAAGTCCTGCTTACTGTGGTACTAGATGGGGCTATGTTAATTATCCATGTGTTATTTCAATATATGTATATATAAATATAGAGATTTATTATTATAGATATATAAAATAATAAATATATGTATATATAATATTTAATTTTGGTTTTAGATAATAGTATAGTAGTAACAAATTACATATTATGAAATATTAAATTCCATATACAAAAGTCTATGTCTGACCGATGCAAGGTGAATTTCCCTTTACGAGATAGTAACTCGGGAACAATTTCTCCTGTTAGTTTTTTTAGTACCATGCTCCACAACATACTGATCAGAGTGTAACTATCGATCACTTTATATAAACGATATCTGGATAAACGAAAAGTAAGTAGACTAACTGACAGTCTACTTACTTTTTGTTTATCCAGGGTTCAATCCTCTTATTAATTGTTTTTGATGATATATTCAATATTTTTTCTATTTGAGTATTTGATAGAATTAGTGCTAATTGGTGGTTTGTGTTCACACACTTAAACTTAAAAATGTAAAGTAATAATAAAATTATTTAAAAGAACAACACACAAGTTTCTTGCTCGTTCTTCTTGTGATGAGACAGCTTTCCGAATGAGCGGTAGATTAAAAAAATGTAATGATTATTCAAAAGTGTATATGTAATGTAAGTTCATTTGAATAAATGATTTTGTATTCTATTCTATTCGTATTACATAAATATTTGTATTTATCTGCGTGTATTGTTGCAGGTGTTTTCTTTGTATTCAAATATAATGATCTAATTACTTTATGTATATTATGTATGTATTTATAAAAATATGTATCGGTTTTATAAAATAAAGCCTTTTAAAACAAATATAAAATTTTATTTACATTTCTTACATACAATATAGAAAGCATCTCGAATGTTTATTGTTTCATTGTTATTTAAATAATATGATATATCTTATACTATAATCATATCATACAATTACATATATTTATATATGTGTATATTGATTATGAATTAATATCGACAATACAAAATGCGAGTTTTATTAACATTTTTTACATTGTCTGTTTTAGTCATACATCTGTTCACACTCCATAATAAAATCATAAAGGATATAAATTAAAAAAATCCTCTGTGATATTATCATTTCAAACCACAAATAGAAATTAATACTACTGGGTTAACCCTTTATTATTATCATCTTACATTATATTATCATTAGAATTTATTTCTGTATTAACGTATAAATTTTAACAAACCAAAGTTAATTTGTGGTACCTACACCTTTCTCATTTACAATAAGAAGTAAAGATTTTTCTAGAAAAGACTGACAATGTAGTAATCAATAGTTTTCTGACTACTAACTAAGTTATTGTACTAGAACCTTATCTATCAAATGGAGATATACAATTTTCAAAGATATAAGTAGCGGCAAGTAATAAAATATTGCATTAACTCTAATAACTCAATTATTATACTTTGAAATTAAACTTTGATATAAAAACTTTAGAGGGGATTGTATTATTTTGGGGCTAATGGAGTCTTTTATTAAATCTACCATATATTTTGGTAAAAGTAAATGTTGCTATTACAATCGGCTAAACCACTAGCTTCAAACCTAATTATTAATGTAATGAGAGGTCGATTTAATTAAAACCGAGTTAAAATCCAGTATATTATATCTACAAAGAGTTTGCTTAAACACCGGTCGAAAATAATTAAAAATATAAAACATGCTAAATTAAGTGTTGTATCAGATGTTGTACGTTTTTTAAGCTACTAATTAGATACGATAAAATGGCTAACGACCAGGTAATGGAAAGTGTTTTACGTATAATAGATATGACATCCCCTTGGTCGTCTACTGTAGCTAATGTAGCAACACTGTCGCTCCAAAGGCTTTATTTTTATCCTAAACGAAAGCGCTACCTAAAGTGTTGTCTTTTTTCACATCGTCTTAATTATATGAACCTCACCGTATTCTGTGTCATTACCCAATAAAAATATATACCTAAATATCAATTAAAAATTTTGTTATAGTTTTTTATTGATATACTCGTATTCATGTAATTAAAGTTGGTAAACATTGAACATCGGTCGATTAATAGACTACTTTAATTAAATTGTCGACCACGGTCTTTTATTATATTTATTAAATAAATCGCACTATTATTTTCTTCACTATAATGGCGGAATATTGAACTTATTACAATCAAATCAACCAACTTACTTAAGCTTCCAAGGTTCGTTAAACTAGACGACCGCCCTTTGGTTATAATAATTGATCTTTCAGAATACGCGGGCCCATATCGATTTACTCTTGTATTTAATTATAATTCTGTGAAAAAATAAACCTAGTATTATTCTAGTATATATATATACTCATAATAATAAAATGTTCTGTACGGTTCCTAGTTCCTTTTACTGAGAGATGTTATAATATATTTATTTTTTTATGTTTGTAAACAGTTACCAAAACTATTTTCACTCACGTACCTATATCCATAGCATGGGCATCTGTTACATCTATACATATTATTCTTACACACTATCTGTACATAAAAATAAACTTGGCTTTAAGTAAAAAAATATTAATAGTAGTGACCATAGACAATTTCAGAGATAGATGATGCCTTGATTTATATGAAGACTAATTATGCAAAATTTTCAAATTTACAAATAACAATTCACAACTGTTTTGCTAACGCTTTGAATTCTTTTGTAGAGACACAAATCTTGTGTTCTCAGAATTATGTATTTACAAAAATAATGTTTTTAGAGAAACAATTTACACACAACGACGCAATTTATATGTGAACTGAAATTGCGACATCTATGGAATCTATGTACAATGTAGTGATAAATTAACATGAACATAATTTATAGGATACAGTTAACCGATAGTTAACAGTTAATGGTAACCGTTATGATTATAATATCGAAATATATTTGTTTGTAAAATATGTATCTAGTATGACTATTTGTATTAAATATGAAACCGTATCTTTATCACAACTGTAGATATTGTACACAGTGCGGTAACTTCTCACATAAATAAATAGGTTAATTTTTTTAATACGTTTTTATTATTTCCCATTTGATCTAGCGTCTTGCCATAATGTTAGATCAATGAAAGGTAAATGTGGGCACGGTGTCAGCTTATTTCTGTAACAAAATTAAACATAAGTAAGTTAAAATTAAAAAATAATAACCACAACATAAATTGGTCAATATTATTCTCTTTGCGGTATTACGCAGTTAAAATATTAAACATCATTTCTCTCCTCCAATAGGTAAACACGAATAAAAACATAATAATGAAATCATCCAGTGTTCTAGCTAAAATGGCATAAGACATAAATAAAAATTGTTTATTTTAAAATATGATTAAAAAATAAATTTTATTTCTGTAATCATATTTTAGATGATTTCTTCTAAATTTTTGTGAAAGCATGAATGCAACTCGATCCAATATGTCTGTGAAATTATTCAGTACTATATCATTCTCTAGAATCAAGATGTAATGCCTTATTACATCTTGATTCTAGAGAATGACTACACTACTGTAACACAAATTATAACATACATTTTCCAGAAATCAAACAATATTTTCAAATAATCCTTCACACTATACTATTACAGAATTACACCGAAAATACAATACATACCCTTGATTAATCTGTTGGAAGGCTTTTGGTTGCATAACTTGAATGCCATCTACATTGTCGCACATAATCCGCGCCATCGAAGCACCCCGACGGATTGCATCTAATTGACCTGATTAATACAAAAATTTACTTAGTACCATTTTCATATAGAAAGAGCTCGTATTCTATCAGTGAACGATAAAGTCAGAATTATTTTATGAAATTATCGTGCTAACTATAATCTGACAGTAATTAATAATGAATCATTCCCCTGTAAAAGATATAGCGATATCAAATCAAAAATTAATCCGAAAAATAGATGTAGGCACGCTCCCGCTAGTTTGTATATATACTCAGCGAAATATCAAGTGTTACGTTCACTAGATCATAAACAGTTATCTATGTCTCTGACTATTTGAATACAAATAAAATACATAATATGAAACTAACTTGGTGTGAAAGCAGTTACAGTATCCACTCCATTCTCGTAGAAGTACCGGTCACCCACTCGTGTCCTATAAAACTGCTCCGTAAGGATACAGAGGAAGGTAGGTCCAGCTTGAGCTCCTGGCACATTTCTCTCCAACGAACCGCCCACAACCAGATCGATATCTTGAGGGGTTTCATATGTTGATTGGAGAACTTCTACATTCTGTTGAAAAATATAATATTTATTTATATTTATACTGGTTGTAGTTAAGTAAGAGTTTAATTATTGTGTATTATTAAAATGTCAAAATTCTGAAAATAATGTATTACTTCAATTAAGTGTTTTAGCTTGATATCGCAACATCAGTCGATCGTTTTACTTAATTAAATATTAAAAATAATTTTACAACCAATCTTAGAAAAAATGTTACAAATTTGTTGTTTGAAATCACTTTCAATTGATAAATTTAAATTATGAATTAATTATCCTTTCAATTTTAATACAATAATTATAGATATTTATGCCATAATTTATAGAGCCGACAGGCTCTTGAGATTAAAAAAGAAAACAAAAATGATTCTTCTATTACTTCATTTAAATTTTTAATCCCGAAATAAAAAATTTTAAATAAAGTTTGTAAGTCAGAATTCCAATGAAAAAGTATCTAGTCAACATTCCCGTCTGGGCTTACGAGAAATTAAATTTAACATTCGGTTATTAATAATATTGAAATTTCAGTAAAGAAATATTATTATTATCACGACAATAATTACAGCAAGCAAACCAAGGAGCAATATTAGTCATCGACTGTTGATATGACGAACGTGAAGCCCGACTTGCTCATTCCGCCTTTATTCAACAGAGTACCTTTGAATAACCTATCACTGAGCAAGTCTGCTACCATTTTTCGAATAAAATGCTTAATTAGTGGAATAAATTAATTCATGTATTCATAAATAAAAAAATGGAGGCTATACAACAGTACAATGACTAAAAATACTCAAATATTCATACTAATATAAGTTCTTTATAACTGGGTATCACCCACATCTTCGTATGCTTTTTTGATAAATGATACTTTCTACTTAATTTCTATCAGAGCTGTTTAGTCGAAAAAGCCAATAAACATACAAACACGACAAACAGATTTTGAAAGTTATAATATTATTATGGATATATAATTAAGCAGTATAATTATAACATTTGCATCGTTTACAAATTGCATGTCATTATTATCTTTTTTGCGACATTTCTCCTGATATTTGGACGCAATAAGCTGCAAACATCATAATATGGGCCAACCCGTAAAAAGATATGTAATCACGGCAAATAGCATATTACAGGATATGAAATTTACCGTAATTTTGTATATATTATATAATGTGTACAAAATTAACGTTATAACGTAACGTTATAATAATTATTATTATAACGTTATCAAAGATATTTTTTGAAAATGCGGAAGAGTAGGTACCTGTGTTTCCGTCCGACCGTTTGTTATCTATTCACAATTAAACGGCTTATCGTAAAATTTGACGTGAAGATTCAAATTTTAATTAAAAAATGAACGGAGTCCGGGGTTAACAGCTAGTTTCATATAAAAATGAAATAGATAATACTTGGTAGGAAACATTGGAGTGTACAATTTTAAAAGGTTGTGTTATTGAAGGTACTAAGTTCTACTTCATTGGTGTTTTGATCCCATTATCCTCAGGCGTAAATATCCAAATAAAATTATATTTCAAAGTAAACTCTATGTAAACATAGTAAATATCTAGGTAGGTAGAGAACAGAGGGTGTTCAAGTGAAGGTGTATTTAGAATGAAACGTGTATCGCCTAAAATATTAGGTTGTTCGGAAAATAATTTCGTTTTTTCCTAACTTAGGATTTAATTGTATTTTTTGCACTCAACTTTACACTTAAGCCGTATAATTTTTATATTCAAATTCAAATTCAAATTTTAAATTCAAAAATCATTTATTCATGTAGGACATTTTAGCCGCTTATGAACGTCAAATTTTTACATTATAATTTTATTCTTTCCCTACCGTCCAGTTCGGTATATAGATCCAATTGAGAAGAACTGGCAAGAAACTCAATTGAATTACTTTTTTTTTAAAGCCAGTTTATTTACAATGTATTTTATATAGGTGTCTATGTCTAACATTAAATGAAAATTCAGTGCATGAACAACTATTGCCATGCACACTCGTCATTCAAGTAATCGTTTAGAGCTTTGCTCAGTAAATATGATTTAACAGATGTTTTGAATTTATTTAAGGGTAATTCCAACATATCCTTTGGTATCTTATTGTAAATTTTTATACCTATTCCCATAAAAGACCTATTAACTTTTTCTAAACGATAGCACGCAAGAAATGTATCAGAGCCAACATTGTCCAGGTCAACTTACATCATGCTATGACAGCAACAGCGGTCATAGAAAACCTCTTCCGCAAAAACGACCTGGACCTTGCTCTGATACAAGAGCCATGGCTCAACAAGGCCACGCCTTTAGGTCTCAATGCCTCAGGTAATATTCTTTTTAATACCACTGGCACTAAACCTAGAGCATGCATTCTTTTTAATAAGAAACTAGATTTTCTGACTGTTCCAGAACTATGTACAGATGATCTAGTGACAGCCTTCGTCAATTTCCCTGGATGCACAGGGTCAAAAGTACTGGTCTGCTCTGCATACCTACCTGGACATGATGAAAACAACAAAATCATCAAAGACCCGACAACCGGCCTACAGCCTGTGGTGGAATACGCCCGTAAGCACAAGGCCGAACTCCTCGTGGGCTGCGATGCAAACGCCTATCACACAAATTGGGGAAGCTCTAACATCAACACCAGAGGTAAGTCACTTGATGATTTTATACTAACCAACTGTCTTCAAATCCTAAATACAGGGTGCACACCGACGTTCGTCACTGCCACAAGACAAGAGGTACTAGATATAACACTCGCGACCGACAAACTGGCCGAATATATTACTCATTGGCATGTCAGCAATGAGAACTCCATGTCTGATCACAAGCACATCAGATTCACAATTGAGGCTGCAATAGACTCAAACCCCATACTCTACAGAAACCCAAAGGCTACAGATTCGCCTAAATACAGAGACAGTCTTACAAGCCTAATTGCGGACCTTCCGAAGAGTATCAAATCTCCTCTAGAACTAGAACTCGCTGTGGACATACTTCTAAATGGCATAATAAGTGCCTACCAGAACAACTGTCCCATCAAAACCAAAACTGCCAAATGTAAAACACCCTGGTGGAACAAGAGTCTATAAAAGCTGAGGAAGAAAACTCGCAAATTATCCAACAGGGCTAAAAAGGGACCTTCCGAATGGGCCCAATATAGTAAAGCCCAAACGGAATACTACTGCGAAATTAGGAAAGCCAAAAGAGCATCATGGCGTGCTTTCTGCGAGGAGATAACTCAGACTCCCCAAGGATCCAGATTACACAAAATGCTTGCCAAGGCGCCAAATAACCAAATTGGACTTATGAAAAGGCCCAATGGTACCTATACGACATCAGAGGAAGAAACTCTACAGCTGCTATCTACAACACACTTCCCTGATTCGGTTCATATCTCAAGAGATAAGAAGAACCCTCCAAGCTCACATCTACAAAAGCCCAACCATGAGGCGTGGAACAGAGCTGCGAGGATTTTTCGACCAAAGCAAATTATATGGGCTATAAAATCTTTCAAGCCATATAAATCATCGGGATAAGATGGAATTTTCCCGGCCCTGTTACAACAAGGGCTTGACATCCTATCTCCCTATCTGGTAAGATTATTTAGAGCCTGGGGTTTTATACCAGAACCATTAACGAAGGTCAAAGTCACCTACGTACAGAAGACTACTCGCAGCCAAAGTCTCACAGACCTATAAGCCTAACCTCTTTCATAATAAAAACCATGGAAAAGGTTCTGGACCAATACATTAGAGCTACAATCCTCGAAAATGCTCCCCTGCACAGGAATCAACATGCCTACCGCAAGGGACATTCCACAGAGACCGCCTTGCTCGAACTCACCGACAAGGTCAAGAAGGCCTTTGAGGACAAACAAATAGCTCTATGTGCATTTCTCGATATTGAGGGTGCTTTTGATAACACGCCCATAGAGACCATCTCACAGGGACTCATCCGCAAGAAAGTGGATGAAACCACCACTCAATGGATCAAAGCAATGCTCTCAAATCGAACCATTAAAACTACTCTTCATAACAGTACGTTAGAAATCCGACCTACCAAAGGATGCCCTCAAGGAGGCGTTTTATCGCCACTGCTGTGGCTATTAACGGTAGACCAGCTCTTAGATGTTATGACCAAAAACCAATTTGAGGTACAAGGCTACGCAGACGATTTAGTAGTCATGGTCAGAGGGTTCTGTGCAACAACAATATCAGACCGCATCCAAAGAGCACTAAACATCATAGTTAAATGGTGTAAGGAAAATGAACTATCAGTAAATCCTGATAAAACAGTAATTGTTCCGTTTACAAAAAGGAAGAAACTTGACAAACTTGTCATGCCTAAAGTAAATGGAAGAATATTAGAGTGCTCCAAAGAAGTCAAGTACCTGGGCGTAACCTTCGACCAAAAACTGACATGGAACACACACATAGACAACATAACTCAAAAGGCGAAAACATCCCTAGGAATAAGCCGACGGGTAGCGGGGCCCAGATGGGGAATTAACCCCAAAATTGCCCTATAGCTTTACACAGCAGTGGTGAGGCCGCTTACCACCTATGCCTGCGCAATCTGGTGGCAGAAAACCCTCCAATCCACAGCTGCCACCAAGCTAAACAGCCTACAGAGAATTGCTTGTCTGATTATTACAGGAGCCATGAGCACCACTCCGGGAGCAGCTCTAGACGCATTATTGGACTTGCCGCCCCTTCCTTTATTTATACAGGAAATGGCGAAAGCCAATATGCTCAGAATAAGTTCCCAAAGGAGGATATCTTGGCATTCCCTGGCCTTAAAATCTATACAAGACTCGATAATGAGTGATCCTATTCTGGGAATGCCTGAAGACAACATGGCACCAGAGTGTAACTTTGTACAATATTACAAAATCGAAATATCTGGAAGAGACGAATAGCAAAATAACCATACACCGACTCACTCAGAGCATGACCTAGTCTGGTTTACAGACGGGTCCAAAATAGGAGATGATGTAGGATGTGGAATATGCGGTGTAAAACCCAAAATCTGCAACTATATAGGCTTAGGAAAATACGCCTCAATCTTTCAGGCAGAGACTTACGCCTTAATTAGATGTCTGGAAGTAATCCTAAGCCTCAACTACATCAATCAGAACATATACATTTATTCGGACAGTCAAGCTGCTCTACTAGCACTTAACTCGTACAAAATCCGTTCTAAACTTATTAGAAACTGTATCCTGCTACTAAATGAATTAGGAAGCAGAAATAATATTATACTGAGATGGGTCCCCGGGCATTCAAATATTGAAGGCAATGAGAATGCCGACCATCTGGCAAAGTTAGGGGCAAAAACCGTCCAACTGGGTCCCGAACCCTTCTGTGGTGTGCCTCGTTGCCTAAAACTGGGACATCTCAAATTAATAACCAAACGAGAAGCACTGAATCACTGGCAAGAAATGCCAGGTTTAACACATTCAAAAGACCTAATATCGGGCTTCTCGACCAAATACTCCAATAGACTACTGCTATTGAGTAAAAACAACATATGCATGATGACTAGGGCCCTCACAGGACACTGCAAATTAAACAAGCATATGGCTAAACTAGGCCTATGCACGACAAGTATCTGCAGATTCTGCCAAACTGAAGAGGAAACGCCGCTTCACATCCTATGTGGTTGTAGCCCACTCATGCATAAACGAAATATCTCCTTTGGAAAGTTTACACTCTTTCCCGAGGAGATAAAAACGATCGCTCCTAAGAATATCCTTCAATTCTTGTCCCTGACGGGTCTAGGTAGCGAACTCTGAAAAGGGCGAGCACAATAGATCTATGTAGGTCGCAGTGCTACAGGTGCTACACATCTGACAATAGCCCAAACAATCCAATAAAAAAAAAAAACTAAAATAGACTAATCTAGCAGTATCAGTATCAGTGTACTGTCTAACCTTACGCACGGCAAAAGCTGCTGAACTTAGTTTCGCTGCAAGGCTTTGAATTTGTGCACCCCATTGTGTTTTATTATCTAGTGTGATTCCTAGAAAGACAGTAGATTCTATAAATTCGAGAGATTCGTCATTTAATTTAATGTTGCAATTAGTATTAAAACTTTTAGACAGAGAGAAATTAACACATTTTGTTTTTTTAGCGTTTATATGCTTTGAGAGCTCATATAGCAAGGCTTGTGTGTGAAAATTTCCAATTAATTCTACGCAGTAGTTTTTGGTTGGTGCCCTTTTAAATATGGAGAGTAATAAGCAGTATTTTTGACATATCTTACTGTTTTACTACAGAAAGGGCAAAAATGCTGTTCAAGCCAGAAAGAAATTGACCGATGTGTGTAGAGAAGGTGTGTTAACAGTACGCCAGTGCCAGAACTCGTTCGCTAAATTTCGATCCGGCAATTTTGATGCCGAAGATGTACCACCCTCGGGAAGGCCGGTTGAAGCTGATAAAGGCATTGGTTGATGCGAACCGGCGTGTACACAACACGTGAGATCGAATTGAAGTTAAATTTATCAAATTTAACAATTTATGACCACTTTAAAGGCCTGGGATGTTATAAGTGTTGTTATTCGCCGGTTCGCATCAACCAATGCCTTTATCAGCTTCAACCGGCCTTCCCGAGGGTGGTGCATCATCAATAATTTAAAATTAAATAGGTACAGTGGTGAGTAAAGCTAACTTTATCTAAACCTAGAATACTGCCTAGGCCGTCTTGTGTAACTAAATAGTGAAAGAAAATAATAAATATTATTTTTACGATTCTTCTAAACACGATCTAGAAAACGATTCAGGTTATCTACTCTCCATCACTGAACCGATATCGTATCGGCTCCGCGTGTATAGAGACGCTTTAGCGGTTTGATTACTTCCGCTATTTCCGGACCGAATAAGATTTACAGTGATAGACAAAAATCACATTTAGTGAGACACGAGATAAATTACGCGCTTAAAATAAGTATGCCGAATAGGGATACAGCAGTAAATCTGGAATCGAAATACAACACGCTGAAACAATATGATACTTAAGTATACGTGTAGGTGGCGTAGTACTGAAGTGCCTACCTGCTCTACCTACACAAAAATATTTATTATCCTTGACTTTATAACCAAGAATTTCTTTAATCGAAATTGTAATTACAGAATTATCTTAGAATTTAGAAATTAAGTCTTGATGATAGAGTGATCATGTATTAAATAAATAGAAATAAATTACAAATGTATTAAAATATATTCCATAAGGATCGAAATATGTATTTAACATACGATAACTATATTGTTCAAAAATATATGGCCATTTTGGTGCATATTATGTAAATATTTATGAAAAAGGTATTTCATAATGGTAAACAAATACATGTATATTTATCAGTTGATCAGATTCATTCACCTAGCATGTTTAAGACAGACACATTTCCAGTACATAAAAAAATAGTTTTTTATAAAATTATAATATTGAAACTTAACGATACTTCTGTTAATTATCGTGGCGAAAATAATAACACGAAAAAGTAACAATAAAATATAGTTGAATTAAAATCCTGCATCTTTTGGAATTAAGTACGGCTAGATTTAAAAAGAAAAAAAAATTATCCACATATTATGAACAAACAAATATTATTTTTCCTTTTTATCGACGTTCGTGGCTAAAATTGTGAGCATATTCATATCATAATATTTTAATTAACAGTGTTCCAAATTACGTTAACTATAGATGCTATCTTTACGACTTCATTATTTTTTGTTTTCAAAGAAGGCCACGACAAAACTAAGCTGACGCTAACAATAGAGTTTTTCGTGACATCGTTAGAAAAATTCTTTGTTTATAAAAGGAAATAATAAGTCGCCAACAACAAAAACAGTTCATATAATAAATGGCATTTGAATTTTTTTCATTGCGGTTTCGAAAGACTTGAAACAAAAGCTGTTTTCTGGTGTAAGATATTTAAATTATATGATTATTATAATGCTATTGTGGTTTTCGCATTCAATTGTTTAAAATTAAAATAAAAGAAAGGATGATGATATGACATGCTCATATTTTCATATTTTTCCATCATTAATCTTTTTCCAGAGTTGAACGTCTGTAAGTTACTTGGAACCGCTGGGGATTCAAATTGCTTGCAACTTATTTTCTGTACAGTATTATTTTTTATTAAATTTACACAATTATGAAACACACTATTACAATTTAATCATTTACAAATGCAACTTTGAGCGCAAATTTTCTAACCGACTGCCGATTAAAATGGATTAATTAATTAAATTACGTCTGCAGTCGTACCAAAAGTGTATAAAAGCTTGTACTTGTGCGATTTAAAATACAAAAACGTGATATTCAGTGTAAAGAAAACCTTCTTCTGCATTAGTCCCAAATTGTTTTCCAAAGTATCAATCAGAAAATGAATATAATAAAATCACATAGGTCATCAAACCCGGAAGTGGATGGAGATGTGGGCAGCTGAAGATCGCACATAGTGGAAGGCATTGGGTAAGGCCTATATTCAACAGTGGATAGTTACAGGCTGAAATAATGATGATGTAAGTAACATAAATATATACCAACTGCATCAGATACTCTGTTTTATGAGTAACTAGACTTCTAATAACATTGTGTTACAAATTGGGCCCGCAGGGAATCACACCTGGGACTTCATTTATTCAAAGCTATGATACGAAAATCAATTAAGTAATAATAGGTGTTTTACTACCGAACGCCATTACATTTTATTACATTATTATTATAAAACATATTTCAATATTATTTTATAATAATATTACCTTTCAAGTTGAAATTGCTAGCTTATTCTAACATAAACTTTGATTCTAATTTTAACAGACATCGTTATGCTAAATGAAGGAAATATCGCAGTAATTTGCCACGCACTAAATTTGTAATATAAATTAGACGTTAGATATGTTCGTCATATTTAACAACGAACTAAGTTAGCAATGTAAACAAACCCTCCACAGTTAACCTGGTTAGATAAAATCACAGGAAGCGCAAAATAAACAAATCGACGTTTTCTCAAGTAATTTGCGACAGGAAGTTATTATTATTTGGTATGGCAGAAGCGCTTGTCGCGTAGATGGAGAATATTATACACTTCTATGGAAATTACATTCAGTCATATGATAATTATAAAAGGTTTTATTTTTGCAATTTGAATTTGAAGATCTATAGATACCTACTTCTAATCACCTACAAAAACTTAATTAATATAACTTAATTGTACAACTAAGAACATAAAATAGAATATACATAATTATACATAATTTGTAAATAATAGTATATCATTTAATCGGGATGCTGCCTTATGGATAGTGCCTATATAGATAAAGTCCACTATATACATGAACAGTATCGCGGACGTCACAAAATATACTGTGATATCTCTCGTGCCTTTCATGCGGCTTGTTATGTTATCGTACCTTGTAATTGCATTGCCATATTTTCAAACTACATATACTGGAGGCCGAATTATGTGACAACATATACATATATATATATATCGTGATCAAGGTGTCATAAATATTACATTAATAAATATCAGTAAATATCTGTGATCAGTACATACCTCCTGAGAGATGTAATCAAGCATTTCATGGAAGCTTCGTGGAACAGGTAGACCACAAGCTGCTCGAGTCGCCACGTAACTGCCCAAAGCATGATCACGGCCACGTTGGATGTCCGTTGCACGCAAGTCACCTCCAAAAGTGTTGTTACGTCTGCCAAAGAAATAACGCTATTATGACAAGCCCATAAATGATATCATCTCTATTCCAGAACATTAAATATTACTTACCAGAATATAAGTAAAGTATTATATAACAAAAAAAACCAATAATCTGTATTCCATAAGTGACGCTTTCCATAAATAACATCTATATTCATTCCATAAGAAAAGAGTGACATAGAATAAAAGATGATCAATCAATTGACTAACTGAGCTGATCAATCAAATTGGAACAATCATCAATTTGTGCAAAAGTTCCTGAAATTTACTGACAAATCTTTGGTTAAATAAAGTGAAAACAGTTGAAGATTTTGAAATATTTCAAAACTGAAATATTCTTCTGCAGGCTTTAGAAGTATGTACAGTCGAAGTTAAACTAAAACTTGATTATATTGCAAGAGCTCTGCAAGGCACGAAGTTTGGCATAGAAATCTAATATGAAAAATGACCAAACTTTTGACCACATTTATTCTTATAAATAAACTGTAAAGCTTTAAGCAAAAAAATTGTTATATAATATAAATATAAAAAATGTGTTTAAAAGAAATAAATAGGAAACAACGCAGTGAATATATATACATAAGACTTTATTTTTTTTTATAACAAATATGGTTAGCGTTATATTGTAAAACTTTGCAGATGAATATTTTTTATTCAAACATGGTCAAGAACATATATTAATTTATATCGGGATCTTGTAGCCATATTTCCTTTATAGTAATTAAAACTATGTTGTTAATATAAAGTAACAAAAATAATTTTCTTGACTATTGTTTGACATTCCTTTTTTTGTACACTTGGAATCTACGCAATTGTTTTTCATACGGTATATTTAAAAATTGAAAAGGGATGGAGAAGACAGTTTACGTCGTATCGGAAACTCATATCTCGCATAAGGGCACAATAAATAAAATATTTTATATGTCGTCATGTAGGATTGTACCCTTACTCTTACTAAGACACCCTTTTCAACATAGTTTATTTTGATGGAGTGAAAATATCATCAAATATTTGTTTTCATTCTTAACATATTGTGTAATGGAAAGTCTAAATAAAGTTAAAACTCATAAAAAAATAATAGTTACTATGCTCGATGAAGATCGTTATTTCATCATCTTCTCATTCATCAAAATTTTAATTGATCATAAAAAAATATTATGTACGTACATTTTGGCATTGATTTAATAGTTATAATTATATATGCACTAACCATTTAAAAAAAAAACAAAAAAAAGCATAGTTGGCGATGAATAGTATAGAAGAATATATATATATATATATATATTGTTAAGTTACTTTGTAGAATGAAGAGATAAGAATATATAATAGCATAGAAAATAGAATATACTATTTATATATACAAATTGAAATGAATCGGGATTTCGTTTTCATAATTTCAATACTGTACCCTAAGCAAAACGGAGAAGCAGATAACACAAACAACTTTTAATCCTAACTCGTCACGTAGGCAATTTTATGAGATCATGTTTTTTAAAAATCTCAACAATCATGATACCAGTTAGAATCCTGATCACGTCCTTATTCCAATTTGTATGAAAAATATAGCAATCGATAATGAAATTCACTCTTTTTTTAATACAATGACAGGCTATAATTTTGCGAATACTACTTTATTTTCTTTTTTTCTGAAGATTTAATATTAATAAATATTTCTATTTCAACCTGTCTGCCTCCCACTTGCAATGCGATAACCGGTGGGATAAAAAGGAACTTGAGCAGCGATCCCATTTACGGAAAATAATGTGTGGGGGCGACTGCTACCAAATTAAGACCTAGTTATTGTAGGTAGTCAATTGAAGAATGTGCCTCAGAACAAGCTGTCCTTTCTATACAATTTGAGTGTCAAATAATCTGACCCCCCACTGGTGATAAGCGATAACCATCGCCTATGTACATGAATAGAACTATGGACATCACGTTATCATGTGACACCCGTCAGTATACCACTCAAATGTTATCATTCCAGACGACTAATTGTTACGTTTCTTATCCTGTAATTGCACTGCGTAATCTACACTACAATCGAAATAGCTTACAAAACAAGCTTTTTAGCGTTTGAAATATTTATGATTTTAATATGATGAAGACAACTTTTACAGACATATAGACATGTACAAAATTGTATTATTAAAAATAATAGTACTTACTTAAATAAGAATTGTGTTATTTCGCTGTCCCAGAACTGATCACTGAAATCTTGTGGTTGAGATGTAAGACCTCGAGCCAAGTTATCGAAGGAGTTGTGCAGTTCCAACAATAGAGGTCGGTTGAACCAGTCGCTCATACGCACTGTACCAGTGTGAGCACGATTCTCCGTAATCAGTCTATAATGAAAATAAACATTATGGATCCGCGTACATTTTTGATAGAAGACGGACGGGCCCTGCTGACAATACTGTATGATAGGGGTATTGGTTGTATCGGAATGGTCTATAGAAATGCGTCAATGGTACCGTCAACACTAGCCGTCCGAACAAATTCTTATTGAAAACTGATTCTAAATTCTAGTTACTCATAAGCTGAGTGTGCGGGCGGATTACTGTAACACAGGATATCATATTACAGGATAAGTTCTCTGACTTGAACTTGAACTTGAACTTGAAGTATCTTCATATCTATTATTTTCATTAAAAACCGTTTAGCCAATAGGTTGTAAAGAGGTAATAAACAAACAGGTAGACAGACATGCACGATCGCATTTATAATATATGGATATAACTAGGTATATTGCAAAAAAACCTTACGTACAAATTGTATTTACTGTTTTACTATATTACTCATTGTATTCTAATTAACCTGCATAAAAGTAATTTAATCTTTAAATAATTATAAAAAATCAATTACATATATTTAAAGACTACTATCTTTAGTTATTCAGATATGATATAACAAACAGAACAATATGTAAATATTATTCAATTGAACATGTTTTTAAAATTCATATTAATGTACATTCTTATCTATAAAATGGCTTCTGCATTCTTCTTATATTTGCTTGCGAGTATCATGTTTTATTAGTATAAATATGAAATGAGAAATATTTCAAAAGTCGTCGTCCTTTTCTATTTATTAAGACATTTAATAACATTATTATGATGCATAAAAATGTTTCATTAGTATCTTTTATACCTATTAATTAAAAAAAAATCCTAAGAATATTTACAAATGTAGTAATAACTACCCTTTATGTATAATTTCAAAAACATCAAAGTTTAAATTTTCCATTAAATAAAATAGAAAGAGAATATACGTACTTTAAGAATCCTCGAATCAGAGTGTGGAAATGTCTAAAAGCAGCTGTCGCGTGTTCATCAAGAACAGACGGGTCTACATTAGGGTTATAATCATTTACGTAGCCCTGAACTCCTGGATAAATCAGCTTGTTTTTAACCATGTTCTCCAAGCCTGGTAAAAAGAAAATAATATATTAGACATGTAGTTAGGACCTAACTAAACTTTACTTAGATTAAACCAAGTAAAATTCATTATTACAAAAATAGTATGATTTAAAAATATACAAGACATAACTTTATACTAATAAAACTGAATTTTTGTGATATTTTAAAATCGTATCATCTATAAAATGAAATACAAACTAACAAATCAGTGTATAAGTGGTATAAGTAACGAACTGGAAAAAATTATCTATCTTTTCAATCCCTAGTTTTAATTCTTAATTAAACTTAAATTTCAGTACAGTAAAATAAGCGTCGTTATTTAGAACTGAAATTACTTTATCGTTGTAATGTTTTAATGTATGTTAATACCTTAATACGTAAGCCTTAAAGGTATTGTATAACGAAGCATACGAGAAGACTCGAGGGGGAAGATAATTATTTCAGACCCACACATATCTCTTATGTTGCATCAATCATCGCACAATACAAAAGATAATCCCATTATAAGGATTCTAAGATTGAAATTATAAAATGCAATTCATTATAATAATAATATAATTATTATAATTAATTCCCTAATAATAGAGGCAATGTCGGAGTAGCGATAGGAGCGCACTGAATAATATCGCCTCGTAAGTGCGTAATCACAGCCGATTTCATATAGTAAGCCCGCCGAGCCCATTTTATCCCCACCAGCATTGCCCCTCATTTCGATGTCGTGTGTTCATCGTTTAAATCACGACCGACAACAATGTAAACAATTTGTACCTTGTCACAAAAACAATTTATAGGCAATAATATATAAAAATATTTGGAGTTGCAGATATTGTCAACTCAACAATAATTTACAATATACTGAAGTACTTACAACAACCAGTGAAATTCTTTTGAATCAGAATACATAATATTTTATTATTTCAGTACAAAAAAAACTTGAGTTTTACAGAAATTGAGATTAATATTAACCACTCGTCGACAATTTCTATGTAAAAAAGAATAATGATAATCTGTATATTTACGGAAATGTAAATACGTGACATTACAAAGATAAAATTCTGTTATTTTGCAAAATTTTCAAGTTGGTTTCAAACGTAAAAATAGACGTTTAAATATTTACCACGATTTTTCTGTACAAATACTTAAATGAGCAGAACATGAATTTGAAGATTTAGAGCCTTGAATACGCTTCTTAAAGTTCTTAAGCCGGGCGACTTTTTCGGTGCAGTCAACATTTACAATATGTATTGCGACAAGAATAATAAAATACTGAACTATTAACTTAAACTACATAAAGAGATTTATATAGATTATTGATAGCTTTAATTATATTTTCGAGCAAAATTATAAACAAACAAAAATCTAATCTTTACAATATAAAAAAATCTAGACTTTACACTACCCTATATAATATTTATTAAAAAACTGAATGTTAACCAAGAAAAGATAAGCTCAGACATTTTATTAATAAGCTAAATATTTTTAAAGATTAACAATATTTAAATAATACTACTACTATTAGACAGTATTTTCAATCGTTTTCAAATCGAAAGAAACACTTTATTAGATTGTTGTTTTTTTATTTTTATGTTACTACGTAGCTTTCTGAATTTTCAGAAATTTTAGTGTATTTTATAATTAATAGTCTTTAGTCCTGATTGAATCCTTTATAAAGAAAGTTCTATTGTTTTTATTTATATACTGTATCTAAATAACACTATTTTCTCCCATTATCTTGATTTTGAATCGATATTTCACGTCCATACATAGCTTTTATGCGGGTAAAGTCGCGGACACAACTAATATTCCGATAATAGATAAAACTTAGAAGACGACAGCTAGAAAATAGAAATTAATATTGATGGAACTCTTCTCGATTGAATCTGTATACTGGTCGGTAGGGAAAAAATAATAATACAAAAAATTTGACGTTCATAAACGACTAAAATGGCCTACATGAATAAAACATTTTTGATATGATTTAATTTGATTTAATGTGGAGTCATTTATTTATGCAGTAAAATTTTTGTCAATTATGCAAGTCAATCTCTATCCCTTATCAGTCCCATATCAGTGCAGGCAACCCATGAGTTGAGTGTGCCATTCAGTTATTAGGAAACTTACCCAGAAATATTGGTAGATATTCATAATAGTTAATATGTTGTATTTCAGCGATGTGTATTCTTCTCGCTTCTTGGAACAAGGTTTCATCATCCCAGTGTCGGTTGAGAGATGATAATACATCTGCGATACGATTGTGTTCACGTAGAAGTACGATTTGTAGGACCGCCAAGTGAGGGTTCTGATTTGTCCTGATGTCACCTAGAAGGCAATAATTTAACTAGTTCTGCTATTTCCAATTAAAAAAAGAGAAGATATATTTTGTATAGAACTTAACAGAATAAACTTAAAATACTTGATAGATTTTATGAATGTGTACATCTATATTCTTACATCAATGCGAAGACACGACGAGTCTGTAGTATTTTTATAAATGTAGAAACTTGTAGAAAATTTCAATAATTAATAACTTGATATTGGCATTGTTCGTATATATATGAATTACAATATGGTACAATAAAAATGTTTATATTTACTCAGGTATCTTTTTTAAATATATATAGGTATATTTCTTTTATTAATTCTTAAAATTAGTTCTTATTACCTAATATTATAAAAATAATTAAATGTACTAATAAATATATTTCTAAACCCAATATTAAAAAATAGTACTGAAGAAAAAAAATATGATTTATCACTTCGTTTGTATGTGTTTTTCTTCTACGATCAAATATGACAACATATTTTTAAATAACAATGTCTAAATATAAAATTGTATACAATATTTTATTTATGAAAATTATTACAATATCGGAATTGCCAAACTTCGGCAGTCTTCAGCATAATTTTAGACTTAATTCACCTGGCTCTTTAATTTGTTTTAATCATACTCATACAATTAATTTTAACTTTATTGCCCAGTATACTTCATACAGTAATATTAATTAATCTTTAGCAAAATTAATTGATCTTTAATATTATTAGGTTAATGAAGGGCGTAATTACCAGTCAAATAACACGGTTCGTTAGGCGAGAGTGCGGTTTCGCAGGTGACCGTGATGTTAGGGTCTTGTGGGGGCCACTCCTGGCCTCCCCTCAATACGGTTAGCAGACGACCGCCAGAGTACGCTCTTATTGGAGCAGCCTGACCCGCACTGCTGCCATATACTAATGATAAATCCATGTATGCTGTTACTGTAGAAATCTGAAAAAAAAAGTAAAATTCGAAGACAAAGCGACAGACCATTGTCTGCTTGAGATTGATAAAAGACATCTTAGAAAGGTGATATTTTTAAAAACATGTACGCTTCAACGTTTTCGTAGAAACAAATATGTTTTTAACTAAAGTGAAACATAAAATGGGTTTAGACGTTTTACACGTTCGTTACTACGAACAAAATGACTAACCATTCTAAGAAATATATGGAACCAATAAGGGATTAAACCCAATTGACTGAATTTGAAAGTTCCTTTTAGCAATCCGTTTGCTGAAATAAGATTTTTTCAGCAAACCTACTATGCTAGGTGATCTACCTAAATACCTACCTACTTGTTAAAAAGTATTAATTGTAACATAACAACAGTAATGACTAGAACAATAATTATGATAATTTTGTGGAAAAAAAAATTACGCATATATATGTGTGACTAAAATGTCTTACAAAAATGAATTCTTTTGTTGTTAAAAAAAAATATAGGTAACTTCCAGTTCTTTGTATAATTTTAACTTAAAATTATAGCAATCTGAATTCATGTGTAGGTACTTTATCGTAAAAGGATAAGTTTAATTTATACACGAGATTGGTGAACGTCGTCCAAAGCTAGATCCTCATTTATTTTGGTCACGTCCAATAGCGGGTTGTAAATATTTCTTCTGTAAGTGCAGATTGTGAAAAATGATAATCATATGTAATTCAATTCTTCTTGTATAAATAAAATTCAGTGATTTGCAGTATTTTATATTTTTATATTACAATACATTAATGCTATATGGCCTGCTGACAGATATTGGTATACAAGAATCGCTTTGTGTCTCTATTATCAATTAATAATAAATGACAGTTTATCTGAATTAAATCAGATCCAGATATATTTTCATGGTAATTGTTTAGTTTACGCATTTATCGTGGTATATCTTTGAGTAGGTACCATACATTTCGTGTATATGTGGATAGCATTAAAAATTCTTATTTGTTCTATGATATTTGAAATCACGTATTTATTCTTTTAGACGTTTATAGATACTATCTACTGCTGCATAATTTATGTGTTGGTTACATAAAGAATTCTTTTTTTTAACAAAATAATACGTTGAATAAATATATATAAACAAATTAAAGCTTACGGGTTCAGCGGGGGCATTGGGTGGTGTGCATCCTCTTGTTCTTGTGGTACCCGTCCTTACAAAGTTCATACACTGAGTCCCCTGAGGTACATGAACTGGGTCATTTGGCGGTATGAGGATGGGTGCGCAAGTAGGGTTTGTTTGCGCATCGAGAGCTAGTTGACCATTATCGTCGCAGCAAACTATGCTTTCCTTATCTAAATTAAAAAATGAATAACCCAAATTTATTATATTATACAAATTGTTTTATAAATTATAACGGAGGCATCTAAAGTAAAGCGTTTTATTTATTCACGAACTAATATAAGTATTTCAAACTAGTATATGTATTTCAAATTTATCTGTATTCTTAATTCTATAAACTATATATTTTTGAAGGAATTTTAATTATATTATTTTCTTCAAATGTTTGTAGATTAACTGTTCTTCAATTTTATATATATAATTCTTTGTTATTCAATAAGATATGTATATTTCTTCAATATAAAAAAATATATAATGATGTTCTTGTATTTTTATCTGTTTATTTACTCATATCTCCACTTATAGAACAATGTCAAAAAAGGTATCCACAAAATTTTCTACATGTCGCTGGAATGTTTAGTAACCTGACAAAGTGGCATGTACGTAGGTCAGTAGAGAAGGCCTGCCTCAACAAATATGCGTCAAGAGAGGGACCCTATATTACAAATAGATTGTATTACTAAGAAAGTGTAGTAAAGTAAGCTTGGAAGATGGGCACAAAGTTAACAAGTGTAGAGAGAATGTCGGATGAAATTGACAGTCGATCCTATCGATCGAGCATAAAAATCGTGTCATTCAGAAACCTTTCAAAATGTATTTTATTGGTTTCATATACATACCTACCCTTTCTGATATGAATACTTTTACAGATTAAAAACATTATATAAAAAATACACTTTCATCATACCGTTAATCATCATCATTAGTATCGAAATATTAACTTTGTGATTTGTTAATGTACAACAATAATTAATGATAGGTTTTTACGTAAGCGTGTCTTATGATGTGAATAAATAAAACAACAAGGACAGTAATATCTTTTGAGGCAATTAAAATATTTTGGTAGTCGGGGAACAATATATGAAAATGTTGTTACGCACGAACAAGCCGATATATTAAGAATGTGATTCCATTTTATAGGAAAAAGTTTTTATTGCTTTTAGTGGGTCCATATTTTCAATACAGGTACCTACGTGCGTGACTGTGGTCTGCAGGCCAAAATAGTTGGTAAATATCGCACATATTTACATCTACCGGTTTAATTTTTTGTAATATTTGACATTATATTAAAATATTAAATATTTATCTAATCGTTTATTTTGATACAGTGGTCGAATCTGTGTGGAAAATACGTTACCAACTTAATAAGAATACAACAGCAGGTAAAATTAGACAAGCCTAAGGCAAAACCGGTAAATTTAAATTACGTTTATATAGCCAGCGCAAAATTAAACATTAATAGAGTTTTCATTGGCCAATTGCATACTAAAATATTAATTTAATTTTATAAACTTATAATTAATACTTAATATCATTAATAGTATTTAATAAATTGTTATTTACGAACTTAATTAATTATGTACCTCAAAATGTTGTTTCTTTCAATATTACTACTAGATAGGTACAACTTGCAACATCGCAAAATGTCTCTCATAAACTTAATTGACAATTATTCTAAGATAAATATCTACCTTCAATCTTGAAATAATAATGTATTCTGATAAACATGAAATCTTTTTCGCAATATGAGAATTCATGGAATATAATATATAAGTATTTCAAGAAGTTCAGGCAAATTACTTATACTTCTTAGAGTTGCTGTAACATCTGAAATACTTGGAAAGTATCATATATTAAATATGCTTATGAACCTATAATATTGATACAAATTTCATAATTGAACAACTTACACTAAATATCCTCTTTGTTTTAACTATTCAAATTACCAATTAATAAAGTTTAGTATTAACTGTGAACACTCACTAGGTAACAGGTAAATCAAACATACAGTTTGAATATGACTTCCATAATCTACATGTAATTTATGAGTTAATATTAACCACCTTATATATTTAGCTACAACTACACATATTATTTTATATGAAAAGTCTTATTTTATTATGCAAAAAAAAAGGGGTGATTGTAATTGTAAATTAATAATTTATAACTACGTGTAAATTAGTCAGAAAAAATCAAATAACTTGATTCGTATAAGTAGAAAGTTAACAAAACGCGTTTTGCAAGTTCTTTTGGTTAACTTACGGGATTGCGTAACGCCAGCGGTGAGGGACATATCATGGGTAATAATTTGGCCCCATTGTTGAGCATTCAAGTTCCAAATTGGGTCGACCAGCTGTCTATCAGGAAAGAGTCGAAGACTGATGTCACGAGGATTTGGCAGGGGACGACCAGATGATGATACAGGCATTGCACTGACACCTGAAATCAAAGATATACGTAAAGAAAATAATGTAATTATGTACACTTATGATTACCTAATTTCTAAAATATAGTATGACTTATATAATCAGAGCATATGATAAGTACTGACTAATAACTACCTATTTTGTATTTCTTTCATAATGCATTAAATGCACTTCTGAAATTCTGAACATAGACCTCCGCTGTTAAAAGAATAGGAAACAATCCAGAGTCGCATGCCTACACTTGTCAACATAACCTTGATATATACTATACTTTTTATCAGATCTCAGATTTAACCCAACCATTGAGCTCAATACGAGGTCAAATAATACAATTTCAACATATTCATAAGTAACAATATGCAATGACATGATACATTAATGTGTGAAGTTAATTGTTTCACTTTAATAATGGCGGGTACTGCCTGACCTTACATTCCAGTAATCTATATATGCATAGATAGATAGTTTTTTTCTTCCAATTTTATATAACACATGTTAGTACTGTACATTTTTTGCTATTCTGAGCCTTGATATTGATAGGTGTAATTGTAATTGTGTGTACAGGTCTATTAGATGCATTCATGACAAAAGTAATGCAAAATTATAAAGTAAACATAACCATAATACTTTATCTATAGTACCTATATTATTATGAAACTGTTAGAAAAAAAGAAATGCCTACAATTTAGGTTCCAATACGAGATGTATCTATATACAACAAAGAGAAGACTTATTTGGATCACAAGAGGCTCAATTTAAGTAAAAAGGGCGCAGCACAGTGGCACATTAGTAAATAAGAAATACAAAAAGAACGGAAAACGCGGGTGTAAATCTACAATGATTGATTGAAATAAAAAAAAAGACAAAATACTTTATAAAAATCACAACTGAATACAGTAGATAAGAGTACATATGTGAGACATGATTTACGAGTAGCTACATTATCGAGAAAGAAATGTATTTATTTACAAGACTTTGTAAACCAAGAAACATAAATGGATATTTAACAATAAATACCGATATTTAAATAAATACTGAGTAAACTACTTGCTAGTAGAAATTTAATGAATAACTTTTGAATTTTTTTAGGTTATTTATAGATACATGTAAAACAATAATTCATTTAGCAACATATTTATCTACCTTTATATACCTAAATAAAATTATATTTAAAAAAGTATTTTTTTAAACTGTAGTCTGCAAGAAATTTCAGAAATCAATACCAGGGTTTGTAATTATTAATGTTTTTTTTATTTATCACCAAGAGTTAATCTCTATTCCATTGGTTTTTAACGTACCTGGTGTTAAGTCCGCCAAATGTACTTTACTATATTTTGTATAATGTGTGCATTGAAGTTAAATAAATAAAAAAAAATACCTATTCTCCCACATCAAGGGAAAAGATAAATTATTTTGTTGCTACCTATACTATACCCTTTCTTTATTAGTTAATGTCGGTCGTTTCTTTACTATGAGGTATAGCTAATCTACGAAACCGATTTAGATGAAAATTGGCAGAAAGCTCGGATTTCAAGGGAACAGGATATAACGTTAATAAAATCCCTTTGGACAAATTCACGTCATCCAGTCGCCTTATTAATAAAGATTAGATTACGTGATGCATTTAAGAGTTCGGTACAGAAATTTTACAATTTACAGTAGTTATTTTGCAGTATTATAAAAATAACTTATGTATTACCATTCCATAGAACTAAGTGGCATTCCTCTGTGCCTTATATTTTCTCCGCCATATATCACTATTATAGACAAGTTGCAAGGTAGACTTTGTATGGACATGTTATGCGGAGGAGCGAGGACCATGTCTTACAGAAAGTATATAATATGGACGTGGATGGATGGAAAGGGAGGCACGACCAAAACAACGGTGGACAGATTGTGAAAATGCTCAGATATAACGGACGATAGGGATAGGGATCAGTGAGAGAGGATAACATATTGCGCCGACCCCAAATAATGGGATAAAGGTAAGGTAACGCCGATACCACTATAAATTACCATATTTAATTGCTATAAATCATGTTGCTTGGTGGCGATTATGAGTATCTTCGTATACCTATTTACAATTATTATAATTATAATTAACTCACCGTCAGCATAATTATAAGGCAATAAACGTCCGTATGGTGTCTGCGGTGTACCCCAAGATGGTCTTAAAAAATTGTTACAAGAACCATCGATAGTTCGATATCGTGATTTTGAACAAAATGGTGGAGCCAGACCACATGTTTGTGTCGCTGGGTCTTGAGCCGACCCCAACGGCGGAGGCGGATTGCTGAAACTATTTAATTATGCTCATTAGATCGTTATTCTTACAATTTATTATAGTTTTAGAAACCGATAAATTACATTAATATGATTATGGATAATTACTGTTTATTGTTTTCTGGCAGATAATAAATATTACGGGTGGTTACATTATATATGTAATGTGCTAGGTATATACTACATAATAAATACATAGATTTCAGAAAATTGTGTTAAATTATATAAATAAAACTATATTAATATATACATAATACAAATATTAACCTACCTAATAATATATTAAGATACTAATAGGATCTATCTAACATTCAATTATTTCAATTTGTACATACAGTGGGTTGCCAAATTAATAGGGACAGTCACATTTTTTATAATTTTTGTTCGTCAAGTGGTCTTGACTACGTTTTTAAGTGGTAAAAGTTTTTTGCTGATATGTTTTTATGTTCACCTTGTCTCTATAACTCAAATTCAAAGTGAATTTCAAGTGCTGAGAGATTTGTTTATTTTGGAAATATATTTTAATGACGGGAGAGACACACAGTCGTTCACACGTGTAAAAGTGAAACATGTAAATTATTCTTTTAAACAGTTCTTTAGTGGTTTTGTGAAATAATCAATACCTGCAAGTAAGTAATATTTTACTATAATTAAAATTAAAGTATTTTGGAGCGGATTTTAGAACAATTTTAATTTATTTTTATATTTTCAGCTTTGGCTATGGGTCGAGGGGTAGATTTGACTCCGAGAAAAAAATCCGAGGTTAAAACCCTTCTCCTACACACAAATCACTCTCAGAGGATGATAGCACAACTGGCCGGGATATCGAAATCTGCCGTCAATAAAATAAAAATAAATTTAGATCAAAATCAGCCACTTTCGCCCAAAAGAAAAGGCAAATGTGGCAGAAAACGTATCACAACAACACGTTCCGATAGGAAAATTCGAGATATCTGCTTGCAAAACAGAAAGAAAAGTGCTGGATTTTTAACTCAGATAGTACAGGAATCTGGAATACGTGTTTCAAAAAGAACTGTACAGCGAAGGTTGGCAGAGGAAGGCCTGACAGGTCATCGTCCAGTTAAGAAACCCCGATTAACAGAGGCGATGAAAAAGAAAAGGCTTGCTTGGGCTCGTGAGCACCGCCTGAAAACTGTTGAAGACTGGAATAAGGTCAGTTCTATGGTTAATTTTATTTGTGTTATATAAAATCATATTTACAAAAATTATAAATAGTTTCTATATTTTTTTAGGTATGTTTCTCAGACGAGTCAACTTTTGAAATTCTGGCCAACAAAAGTAACTTCGTGAGGCGGCGCCCAGGCGAGAAATTTCATCCTGATTGCATAGTGGAACGAATTAAACACCCTGTAAAAATAATGGTATGGTCTGTCATCAGCGCAAAAGGAGTTGGGCGCCTCTATATCGTCCAGGGAACCATGAGACAGGACCAATACAAGCAAGTATTAGAAACTCGCCTGTTGCCGCAACTTCAGGAATGGTTCCCGAATGGGGAGGAATTCGTGTTTATGCACGATTCAGCTCCATGTCATAAAGCGAGGAGTGTAACCAAATTTTTGGAAGACCACAACATTCCAGTTTTACCTTGGCCTGGCAATTCTCCTGATATGAATCCCATAGAAAACTTGTGGGAAATTACCAAGGCGGAAATTGCTAAGGAAATCATAACTACCAAAGTAAAACTAATTGAAAAATTAATAAATGTATGGTTTCACAATCCCAAAATAAAAGAAAGTGCTAAACAGTGTATTGAAAGTATGCCGAGGCGGATTCAAGCACTGATAGAAGCAAAAGGAAATGTGACAAAATACTAATAATTTCCCATCATCATTTTTATTATTTATTTATTTATTTATTTATTTATTTTAGGTAATCAACAGCTTATACAATTTATAGATATACTTGTTTCTATTTTCTAGTTGTTCAAATATTAAATTATTATAGTCTAAATTCATTATAAGATATGTGTCTGATATTATTAAATATAATTATAGCCTAAAGTGACGTTTTTAATTAATTATAGACCAATGTTTTACAAAAAACGAATATTTCGTGACTGTCCCTATTAATTTGGCAACCCACTGTAAGTATTCATTGTAAATCGTTGTATTCATTACATAAGAGTAATTTAGGTAATTATTTAAGTAAAACTTTTCAAAAATTGTATACCGATAAGAAAATTTTTAATATACTGAGATACCAACGTTGATGTATATTTGTTTTACTTACGAAATATATATGTCATTTTTCCGAGTGATAAATAAGCAACTTAGTCCATATCAATATGACTATGTAACTTTTATATAAAGCAAGCAGCTACAGTTTCATATGTGCAAAGCTATTTTATGTAGAGCAAGCTAATAATAATGAGGTGTAATTCTAACTACAAATATACAGGCAGATTAAACGTAATCTATGTTATATTTATTTCAAACCCGTAAATTTACTGATCGTTAACTCTTTCAAAGCGTTCTACCTTTATCTAACTTCGGAGATAAACAAAGAAATAAGCAGACTTTAAAGCCAGGGAGTAATAAATTTACATTTTTACAATGTAGGGCTTGTGGCATTGTCACAAACCCGCGGCAGTTTATACTCCTTGTCTCAAAGACAACAGGAATATATATTATATTGTACTAAGCTATTTTCTTAGATCTAAACATATGCATAACAAATTGAATAAAAGATTTATAAATGTACATAATGTTGTATTAGTATAAAAATATAAAATTTACCCTTCATTAATATATTATATATTGTCTAATATTATTGTATTCAAATAAATGAAATATGTGCATTATTTTTTACTATTTAAAGATAAAGAAGATGAGAGTTTCTTAGCAGAATTTTATTTAAAACTGTCTTTGAATATTCATCAATCAAAAAATTTTAAAACAATTAGACGAATAACACTCATCATATTTATCTTTTTAACTTAAAATATATTTGTGAATTACTCTAGGTGTAGGTATTATATTAGCCACAGTGACATATTAACCTTACAGTGCTGGCTTGTGCTTCCCTGATGTCTGCCTCTGGTCTGCTGGGGGCATACTGAACACTATAGTACAGGTTACATGCAACATCATCCATATAGTACCAACTATGTGCACATATTACAATACGTACGCACGTATATACAATTGGTATATTTCCGATACTTCGTTTTCGGTGTAGTCAGGATTTATTACGGCGTACCTTCTTATAGATAGATATAAAGTAAAACTATACTCTGGGGTAAAAGTTGAAGCTGTTTTGGAAGTACCAGGAAAGATAAAAGATAACTAAGATATCGATAGGAGAGTATTGATATTTTGATTGCATATTTAAAAAGATATATTTTGCAGAATATATGAATATTTTGTTCTAATTCTATTTAAACTAAAGCACATAATTCAGTTTATCAAATAATATCAAGTTTATTATTCGTGATATTGTGTTCTTCGTAGGAAAGTTATACAAATTTAAATATAATTTTAGGTATATTTACTGAAAATTATTTATTTAAGCCTCGGTTTTGTCACTTTTATACCTACCTAACTTTTAAAATATATTAAATTTCAGTGATATAGATATTACTGTAAAATAGTATATTGTAGTATAAATTTTAAATTATTTGAACATAAAATCATCTGAATAATTAATGAAAAATACAAACTAATAACGCTACGAATAACACAAGAATAAGTAGCTAATAATATTAAACTAAAATTTAATATATAAACTGTAAACAAAAAACTGAAGTTTATTATAACGTAATTCAGTTAAATGGAATGATTTGTTGACGTAAGTATCCATATACTTACGTGCATGAGTGAGACAATATTTGAAAAAATAAATCTGTGATATATGTATATATATGTATTTCTTTTGTATACTTGTGCATTATTAAGTCCTTGTTAGTTCAGGTTTTTGAATAATGCCTTTAATGCTGAAAGTATATGACTACATTACCCAAATATTACACAACTCCAGATGGTTACACTACACATATTAAAATACGTTTCTACGTTTACAAGATGACATAATGCTACTAAATGGGCTGGAAGTTTGAATAACAAAAATGCCTGTAAGGACATAACCGAATAACAAATTCATTGTTATGCAAAATTTTATCTCTCAAATAGAAAGCACAAATAAAACGATGTAGGTATATTGATAGCGAACGTATTGTTTTGTTGAAATTCATCCCTTTTGTCGTTTCAATTAAAGATATTAAAATTATTATTGCTACGTAAGAATTTACTAGGGAGGTACTTTTAAAGAACTCATTATGAATTATACCGATCTCACTATCAGTCTACTTATTGGTAGAATATACCAATATGTGATTTACATAGGTATTTGACCGTAATAGTAATTTCTAATTCATATCCCAGTAACATTTTAAATGTGTAAGTTTTGCAATGTTATTTGTCACTCAATCACGCTTGAATAGCTTAAAAGGTTGGAATGGAATTTGGTATGCCCTTAAGTTAAAAAAGAAAATCATAACATTATAATTTTATTTTATGTATTTGATAATAGTCCGTTGTTAATTCAAGAGGTTCTTTCTTTATTACTAGTCCTATTGGGTCTCACGATTGTGACATTTCGCTCGATTATAATCGGACATTCTTCTTTTTCTTTTCTCCAATTTTTTTTATAATATACAGATACATTTACATATGTAAGTATTTCTGTATATTTTGTATACTATTAAATATTTTACCTTTATTATTTTACCTTACTTACAAAGTACATTACGTATGTTTTGTATTGTACTTTGTAAGTAAGATAAAATAATGGTGATGTAATTAAACCACTTGTATTTTATGCTATGAACGCAAGAGAGTTGAGTTTAATTATAATACGAAACATAAGAAAGGAAAGAGGAAACATATAGGAATGATTAGGATATAAGGGATAACAAAACAGCTTCAAATAATTAACAATATTTGACTGTGGTTTATATCTCAGTAATTTAGTAATGAATGTATTATTGGTAGCGGTATCAAGTATTTTTCCATATTAGTTATATTATTATGATAAACATAAATATAAAATGTAACGCCGACTTGAAGATGATGTAAAATATAAATTTATTGAATTTAGTGAGAAATTATATTATGTAAAAGTTGTTCTTCCTTTTATGTAATTTTATTTGTCACAAAATTGTCGACTCATTGGAAGGTCTTGAACAATCATTGAATAACAATTTCTACCAAACCATAACAACCAATCACTAAGTGAATGAATAATTAGGTATATAGTAATAAATTGAACACCACAGATAAAATCTCACTTCACCTTTAAGTTATCGAAAAGTAGTGCAGTAATCAAATGTTAATATGGTTGCAAATATTTTCGGTAATACGAATAAAACTGTCATACATAATAATAGGACATCTTTTTTATTTTCTTTTTTTTTATAAGGAAAATTCTTGAGCAATTCTCTAAAATGACCATACACGTGTGAAATATTTAAAATGTTAAAACATTACAATCGAAGCTTTCATGTCGCTCTCAATCCCACGAGAACTGAATAAGCCAATTTATTTCTAAAGAAAAAGGATGTTTTACGATCGGATGACATACCCTTAGAAGTTTAGATCAAACGTTGAAATACATGAAACACGATGCATAAAATAATATCTTTCATGATTTCATTTACTTAAATTCGTTAATTTTATAAACAACTTTCGGAAAATGCATACGAATTGTAAATAGTAGGTAATATTGAATTTGGACCCAGATATTAAGACACTTTGTATGATACGTAAGTATTCTTATTTGTTTTTATAAATATATCATAAATGCATATTCTTTTAAAGGCTTTTTTGTGCCAGTTCCTATTACAATATATAATAGCACAAAGATAGCCCAAAACAAGAACTTTTGTTTTTTCTTCAGCTTTTCTAGTAGCTGCCTAAAAGTTTAACTCGTGAAACTTGGAATAACAATAAATTTGCATTTCGTCTACAACTTAACTCTGAGAGAGCTTATTTCATACCATTAGTTTGGCCATCTAACACATGCTTGGTAATTTTATGGAAATATTTGGTCTACATTTTTTTTTCTTATGTTACATCGGCTATTTTGATGGAAATTATATATTAATATAAAAAATAAGCCGTTGTGTTATAAAGACATGAACGAATAGAAACCAAATGACGAACTTTTATTTAATATAATATATTCGATTATATCTGTGATTGTTGGTAATTACATCTGTAGCGAACTCCTTGATAGGTTTTTATATTATTTTTAAATTTTATAATAATATTCTTTGACATATTCTTTATTGTTCACTTTCTATTGTATATCGCTGTCACACTAGTCGCATTTTATTTCATCTCTGTATTTTCTCATTAAAACCCTCAGCACCTCTCACTCATCAGACACATTTGATACCTCCGCTTCAACATCTATATAATAATGAAAAACTATACTACGGGAGATTTGACATATCATAAGAATGTGTAATAGACCTACATGAATAAAGATATTTTGAATGTGAATTTGGACTATCTGAATATTATGCTGGGATTTTATTAATCTAATTTTAATCGTAATTTTTAATAGAATGTCGTTTATTCCTATGATAATTAAAATAACCTGTGTGAAGGTATTTTGACAGTTTTATTCGATTAATATAAAAATTGACCAGCGCCATGTTTTTAAGATAGTAATATCGTACATTTATTGTATCTATTATTTAAATGATTTTTTATCATTAATTTACTTGAATTACCATCATGTAAAATTAAAGACAAGACGTAGATCAATTTTTAAAATAAACAAAGGCCATTCTTTATTTATTATTAAAGAATTACTCACTGTTTAAAATATTACCTGTCCTTTACTACGTTGCTATTTTAAATTAGAAACTGATATTTTTTATAAGCAAGCCATAGTTTTTGCAATATCTCTTCTTGCTCTCTACTAGTATGAGCTGCTAAATTATCTACATGTAGGTAACTTGATTTGCATTATTGTACTTCGAATATTGCTTTGTTAATTTACTTGTGCAAAGTGAGTGCGAGTGATTCTTATTATATTTCATGCTTTTTTAATAATACAGATAATTACAATTATTATTACATTTTCATTACACCAGATAAAACATGTACAAGTACTTATTATTATTTCTTTTTTAATAATTCTTTATCTCATATGATTTTTTAAAATGCTCTTTACTCTTATTTGGAATATATCATTGATAATAAAAATATTTGCACTATGTATATATACATATATCAGCGACAGTCTCACCCAAATCCAGTCACTGGTAATCTCTGTGGCGTTGGTCCAATTGTAACTATCTTCGCAAACTGAGCTCCAGGACCAGTGAGGTGGAGAACAGGAGACCCGCTGAGGATGCTATGTGCTGAACTAAGCAGCTGTTTCAGGAAAATTCCTTGGCTTCCAATTAGGAATGCCATTAGCAGACAACTTCTCGCCATCGTACCTGTAACAAAGAATATTTAAATGATATTAAGTAATGAAGACTATGTATTATATTTATTATCACTAATATTATATTTAGATATTTATCTTAAAACGTATAATTTGAATAAAGAGTAATCTTCATATTAACGTGTTCATTATCTAATGCGTTTTGATATGCGCTTGATGCAAGCAGGAATCATTATTATCATCATTAGTTATAAATCATCTTTTATATTACCTTTATCTTTACATATATAAAACACGATAACACGATAAAATCGTGACGAGGAAAATGCTGTGTAAAAACGGTCGTACAAAATTAGAGTGAAATTTTCAGATATTGTGTTAATATACATGGTAAAGAAACCTGAGAAAATACCTCTTAAAAAGGGGTACTAATTAATTTGATTAAAATTTTCAATACGCCACCTACAATTTTATTAATTAATTGATTATACAAATAATATATGCTTTATTTCCTTTTGTCAAAATTAATGACGAACAAGAAATGTATACCTAAATGAAGCGCGGGCACTAGTTAAAAAATATTTCATTAAGAATACCGACTTAGAAGTTGTACAAAAGCGTTAGTGCAACACGACGTCTGTCTGACCTATTTCAGCCGCCAAACATCTTACTTTGTAAAATGTGTTTCCGTTGATGGGTGGAAAAAGCAATGAAATTACAGAGCACGCAGGCATGTCTGCGTACCCGAAATGGTAACGTAGAAGTATTACCAGTAAAGTCACTTAATGGCGACGGTCATGTATTTGGGCGACGGTTACCAATTACCATCATTGGTACGCTTGTTTGGCATTCGAATTACATAAAAAATAAACAATAAATACACGAACAAGACAATAACTTTGTAATTGACATCAAAAAGAAAAAATAATACTTTATAAAACACGGAAATTGGAGAATGACGGATATGTCCGAAAACATAAATTGGTCTCTTTTTGTATAGATTTTTCCTCATACTTTATTGCGTCCGATTACAATAATCCTTTTTTTAATTGATGTTGTTTATCACCTGTCTTTGTCGATGAATACTTGTACAATACTGTACCTGAATTTCAAGGTTTGATGATGAAATCCTCTGTAAGTTCGTCATCATTTAAGGAAACTTTTCAAAAATGTAGTTTTTATTAACAATCGAGTATTTGCATTATAAAGATTAAGGACGTCTGGTGGAATATATAAAAAATTCCAAGAAGTAACCAAAATATATAAAATGGGTATGAGATTAGTTTTTTTTATACTATAACCAAACTTGGGCTTAGAAAAATCTGATGAACAATTTTTTTGCGCCGAAATACATCTGCGGGACTACAAATGAGGGAGAAGTTTCAGATAAAAATTACTGTTTAAAAACTATACTCAACTCACTTGTATATATATAGTCTTGTATTGTATATGCCTTCTTTTGATTTGACGAAAATTAAAGATAACAATAAACGGATTTAACATATAAAAATAATAATTATATGAATGAAATTACAATTAATTATTGAAAAATATTGACCATAATAATAATTTTACACTCATATATATATATATATATATATATATATTCACTGACATTAAATAATGTATTATGTAGAACATTACATCATTACATATTTATAGTATGTAAAGATACAATAGCCATCATAACTACGACAGTTTATTGTTTTAATAAATACATAGATATGCATATATTTGTTAGCGCTAAAGATAGTGAAGCAATAACTTGAACACAACTGTTATAACATCACCAGCAGCGTAATTAAATCCAGAATATATTAATTGAATATAAGCTCTAGTTAGAACAAAACCACTCTTACATAATACAATATAACAACGATTTGTAATTATATATAACTAGCTTGTACTTATTATTTTTTAATTTACGATTTCGAGTTCAACTGACATAATTTATTTTCTTCTATAATTTAAACACTATGTCCACTTACGTCAAATTTCTAGACGAATGGTTAATGAATTATGATAAATGTCATAAACAAGCAATTTCAATTTGTAGTATATAATAATGATTAGGATATATTAAGTATGCTTTAAGCACAATAATTATTTAAACTTACATGATCACACCCATATTATACTCAACCCCACTGTATTTAAGGAACTTCATTACTTTTGTTGGACTAAAGAACTACAGACATTCTGTAAATTTAAATTTTTATCGGTATTAAAAGAACCACTCCAAAAATGTGCAACCAATAATTTTCAGATCTATAGAAATAAATTTCCAATTAATGGCACAAAGCTGGCAGCTTTCGTCCTGCCCTAAAAAAATGACGCTGCTTGGCAATTGTATTTCCTTTAGTAAACTATTGAAACATTACGGATATTTCTGTGCCATAAAAAAATCATTCCAATCCGTCGAGTCTTTTAAGTTACAGTTATTGTTCTTAACTAAATGTACAGAACAATTATACATATAGGTATATGATTTATAATTGTTCTGTAATATTAACTTTTCTGTGATATTAAGACACATTTACATTATGGATACCTATGTTAGGTTATAGTGGCGAAGTTTATTTTCAATCAAAATATACTTGACTGATACCTACACAGATGTGATAAAAGAGTTATGGTAGATATTAAATTGGCTGCTGCGAAATGACGCAGAAGGAGGTCAAGAGCTATCTATGTCCGTTACATCATATACACGATTATTTTACGGCCTTTAAGGCAAAGCTCTAAGTATTCTTATTATTTGTAACACAATACAAAAAGACATTCTTTGACATAGTTTACAAATACACAATTGCGACTTTCGTATTCGTATGTAAGTCATATTCCACTAACCAATAATATATTAAATAATTTGATTTCATTAAGTTAAATAACTATTTATTTGATATAGTCTATACCAATTTCAATACCGATACATACAGAATGAGCAATGTTAGTGATACTTAAATATATCGATATTTTTGACATTATACAAAGAGGCACAATAAATAGACATAATATCCCTGAACAATTCACAAAGCGCCGTCTAGTCCCAAGGTAAGCAAAGCTTGTATTTTATGGATACTATATAACTAATTTAAATACTTAGACACTTTTTTTTATAAATTCTGTTACTGGTGACGCTATATGAGTTATCCAGAGTGACTATATATTATACTACCTGTACTCGCGACTTCGTCCGCGTGGAATTTAACAAAAAATTTAATTAGAGAATTTTTGCTAAAACAAAAATTACCTAATTTATTCCTTATTACATCAGCTACCTGCCAATAAATGTCCCGTCAAAATTGGTCCAGCCATTTCAGAGAGTAGCCGGAACAAACAAAAATTAAAAAGAAAATTATTTTGGTGTAAGTACCGCATTTATATTCATATGCATGCAGTAAAAAATGGATATTTTAATATTACAAATAGACACTCCAATTTTATTTATATGTATAGATTATACTATTATTTTCATTCATTAGTTTAACTGTACGGAATGCAGCAATAATTAAATACCAGTAGAAACAACATACTAAAACGAACTATTATAATCATTGAAGTACTGGAATGTAATAATCTCAAACTAACTTATAACTTGATGCTACACTCAATCTGTTTATGTACTTATCAATCTAATAATAGTACCGATCATATTACCGAACTTCCTCCTTCCCGTAATTCAAATATATCAAGTGTCTAACTTAGCCTATATTTATTAATCTGAAGATAACAATAATTTAATTTATCACTATATCCCGAAATCTAGATATCACATAACACGAAAACGAATGAAGCTTAGGGTTCGATAAACATCCAAAAAAGCAGATACTGATACTAAACTATAGTAGCAATTGACGTGTATTTCTTTCGACGAGGAAAATATAATACGTGTAATAGGATTACAAGTAGCAATTCCTATAAGCAATAGTTAAATATCCAATATACATGTGTATCGTATAATATTTCGTTGTGTTATGGAATCGCAGCATCCTCATAAAATTTTATCTGCACTACAACTGCCTGAAACATGAGTATTGTTGTTGAAAAACAAACTGCATTTTACTGTTATTGTTCGAGATATCAGATAGACAAACATAGATGTTTTCTGTGGATTCATCATCTATTTTAATTTATTGACTCTACCTACCCTATACTTAAAATTATTAAAATAATTTTTAAATAAAATTATTAAATAATATTTATAAGATAATGGCTATGTTTTTCTATATTATTTCGACATACTTTAATTTCCATCAATACACTAAATATAATGGACATTCTTTATATATTTTTTATGTATATTGTCTAATGTTTCAGAAATTATTTAGGAGACTGTGTAGTGATAGACATGAAAACATCTTGTTCTTCAAACCGCTTGATAATATTACTACGATACTAGTATTGTATAATAAATACTATATATTGAGAAAATATTTAGATACCTAAATTAAGATTCGCATATACAAGTATATTATGTTTAAATCTCTCTAGTAAAAATAGTGTAGCAGAACATAGAACGATTTTATTTTGTTCTCCGGTTATAAAGACTTTAGTAGGTATTTACATGTAAATTACAAATCCCTAGAGAGGACTTCCAGAGTGACTAATGACCTTATGCTTAAAAATACGATAATGACTAAGGGGCTAAATTTATGAGAATAAAGTAATTTACGAGGTGGTAAATCAATTATTATTTTGTCTTTAGGCTTCATTTTCTCCAGATTTACTTACTTACAGTTTTTATATATATAAGAATACGTATTTTTTTTTTTGTATTAGGTAGAAAATATCCCAAATAGTTGCGACACACTAAAACTCCGAAAATTAATAAAATTTTGAGACAGGAGTCTCATAGGGTATATAATTGCATTCATAGATCGTCGCTAACAGTAACTATTGGTTATAGAACAGCTTTGTGAAACAACAATTTCATTTGAAGTATTTTCTAAATTTATAAGTACGTTCAGGTACCCAAATAAAAAAGTATCGTCTTATATAGATATCAGTAAACACTCCATTTCATATTCAATTGAATGACAAACACG